AAATCATCCATACATCTTGGAGTCTTTTATGTCATTGCTGCTGCTGCTGCTGTTGTTTTATGCTATCGGGGACAGTAACAAGGGCCTCGTCCCATAAAATCATCTCTACGTTTTGAGACAGAGTCTTGGCTGTGTTAGGATGGAGACAAAACCTAAGGCCTCACACATCACAGGCCATTCCTCTGCCCTAAACCACATCTCCAGCTGGGAAACTTCACCTTCGTAGAGTACTGTTGGCTAAATAAATAAGAGGTATATGAGTTCTCAGAATTGATAGACACACAATTATTTTCACATGGCCCTGTATTAAGATATGAACTAAGAACCATGCTCCATTTTTCTCTGCCTCTACTCCCACTCCAGGAACCCAGCTTTTCCCCCAGATTAGTCTTTCACTGGCAAACTGGGAACAGGTGCACTTTCTGTTTTGTATAGCCTTATCTTCATCTTTGTCTATAAATTGAATTTATATGTGGATTGAGCTTGGAGCCTTGCATAATATTTATGCTTGACTAAATATACTTGTTTTGCAGCCTGGAAAGCAGTTCTTGTCTGTCTTTTTCATCTCTGGCTTGATGCCTCTTCTCAAGGGAAGGACTCCGACCTGCTGTCCCTGCACTGCTCTTACACTTCCCAGCATTCCCAACTGAACTGCTGTTGCACAGGGCGGCTCACGTAGCCAGCTAGACGGCACTCCCTGAATCCTTGCGACTTAATTCAAAAGGAATGTCAGATCAACATAGCAAATTGCAATAGCCTAGAAGACGAAGGCCAACACATTTACTCAAATCTCTTTCTTCCTTTGTTTTTTGAAGCAGATTTTTTTTTTATTAGTATTGTCTTACAGGGTTCATTCCCCACCCCTGCAAGGTCTGAATTATCTTAAGATCAGAGCACTTAAGATCAATGTTACAGTAATTTGCTTTCCTATAAATAGTATTTGTGAATTATAATATTATACATTTATGTAATTTTTGTTTCCAGGAAGGCCTGTCTTTGTGATTCTCTCTCTCTCTCTCTCTTTCTCTCTCTCTCAGCAATTTTACTATTATTATTATTTTGTTGTTGTTATTATTATTTATTTTATTTTTGAGTCAATTTTTTTTATAGGTTTCTGAAAAAGAAAATGCAGATGGGTTGTTTTCTCTAATGGGGATGACAATGAGTAAAGATTGAAGCTTTGCCCAGCCTTAGGCTCTGTCATATTCTTGAAATATTTTTCTGTTTATTTCTTGTTCTAGTTTCGTTGACAAGTACCATGACCAAAAGCAATGTAGGCCAGGCAAGGTTTTATTTCAGCTTACAAGTTATAATCCATACCTGGGAGAAGTCAGCTCAAGAACTCATGTAGGAACTTAGAGACAGAATTCATGGTGGAATGCTTTTTGCTGGCTAGCTGGCAGGCTCACACTTCTTAGTAAGCTTTCTTAAGCAGTCTAAGAACCGCCTGCCTGCCTAGGGAATGGCGGCACCCATAGTTTGCTGGTGCCCGCCCCCCCATATCAATGAACAGTCAAGATAAATTCCCACAGACACGCTTATGGGACAGTCCAACCTGAGGAATCTCTCAGGTGGAATTGCTCAGGTGACTTTAGGTTGTGTTGAGTTGATTGTTCAAGCTAATTAGGACACCTCTGTTTCAGATTTTCTGTTTTAAGCAACCTATTCCATGAAAAAACTCAATAGTTTAAACACAGTGTGTATATAATTCTGTAGTAAGGGGCACTTACTGAAGAGAAATTCCATCTTCCTTGAAATATAGTGGTACCGTGTTTCCAGAAATACTGAATCTTTTGAAAAGACTTAAGGACTTTGTGGAGAAGATGCCTCGCATGATTACAGGCTCCTCTAGCAGTGTTGATGTTTACATTTATATAACAGCTACTCAATTTCTGTTTTATTTGAAATCACATTTTTTTTTCAGTACTGACAGTTCTATTGAATTCAGGGTCAAATCATCCATAATAATCATATAAAATGTTTAACTGGGGAAAAAAAAGTAAAATGTGGAAGACTGAATGCAAAGCGGTCCTGACATTCCTGTGCCTGCAAGTAGAATTCTGGCAGCCAGTGCCATCAGGTTTATACCTTCAGGGAGCAAGGGATTGTCATGCACATCAGGGCATTTTCTAACCTGTGCGGACAAGTCCCTTATTCAGGGCCACGAACTGTCTTTTCCCCCTTTCCTGAAATTTGAGCTTCATGGCCCTTTACTTGAAGGTGGTATACTCTGAGGAAATATTAATGAGATCATAGGAAGGCATGTGCTAGAAACAGACTCTTGGCTCATATCATCGAGGACACTGTCCTTCGGGAAGATGTTGGATTTCATGGCAAGAAGTGTGCATATGGGCTTTACTCCTCATCCCTTCTCTGACGGATGACTGAAGAAGTACTGAGCCAGCCGCACAGGACAGAAGAAAGCTGCTGCTCGTGTGACTGGTCCATCTGCTTGCATCTGATTACCTGGAAGGCTCTGTTTGGTTTGCTTTGGAGACATGGCACCCTTTGGGCTCGGAGCTTGGGTTTCCTTACTCATGGCATTTGGGCTCTCTTCAGATGGTACTGGTTTTTCCAGTGCCTTCTAGCTCTGACACTTTAGTATACCATATTAGACAATGAAGGAAACTTTTTTTTGGGGGGGGGGCGGGCAGGGGAATGAATGACAAATGTTTGAATGTATCATTTTCATTACCCATTCACCAATTGATGGACATCTGGGCTATTTACAGTTTCTGATTGTTATGAAGAGATCAGTGATGAACATGGATGAAGAGGGATCTCTGTAGTACGGTGTAGAATCCTTTGGGTACATGCCAAAGAGTAGTATAGTGGGATCTTGAGGTGGATCTATTTCCAGGAACTGCAATTGCAATATTCTCTTGGTGGATATTTCCTTTGACAAGTATGTAGTGTCCTTCTATGTCTCTTCTGATTAGTTTTGGTTTGAATTCAATTTTGTCAGATATTAAAATTGTTACATTTGCTTAATACATGAGTTCATTTGCTTGAAATACCTTTATATACCTTTTACCATGAGGTGAGGTGCTATTTTGTTGTTATGGTGTAGGTTTTCTCCCTCTTTTGATTTATTGTTTTCAGGTAAGTTGCTCATTGTGGCTTTTTGAGTATGATTAACCTTCTTTAGAGCTGTATTGGTAGATAGAAATTGCTTATTACTCCCCCCCCCCCCCCCCCCCCCCCCCCCCCCCCGTGGAATGCTTTTCTCAGTTGATTGTGACTGATAGTTTTGCTGGGTGTAGTAGTCTGTGCTGGCATTTTTTGTCTCTCAGAGTTTGTAGAACATCTTTCCAGGCTCTTTTTGCTTTCAGAATCTCCATTTAAAAGTCAGGTGTTACTCTTTGGAGCCTGCCTTTGTATGTGACTTCGCTTTTTTCCTATCTTTTTGTTATTGTTGATTTTTTCATTTGTTTGTTTCTTACACTCAGTATTATAGTTAGATTTTTCTTTGGGCCTCCAGTTCACAAATAATGACATGGAGACTTATTAATTATGAAAGCTTGGCCTTGGCTTATTTTTAACTAGCTCTTATAACTTAAATTAATCCAGTTCTATTAATCTACATTCCATCAAACACCGCTCATCCTGCTTCCTCTGTGTCTCTTTGTGTCTCTCACATGCTTAGATTCATCTTCTACTTCCTCTCTCTCTGCCCAGAAGTCCTGCCTATACCTCCTGCCTAGCTATTGACAATTTAGAAGCTCTATTACACCAATCATAGCAATACACTTTCACACAGTGTACAAATAGCCCACATCACAGTGTTTTGATTATTATGTGTCCTGGGGAGTTTCTTTTCTGATCCAGCGTATTTGGTGTGCTGTATTTTTTTTTTTTTTTTTTCCGAGACAGGGTTTCTCTGAGTAGTTTTGGTGCCTGTCCTGGATCTCGCTCTGTAGACCAGGCTGGCCTCAAACTCACAGAGATCCGCCTGGCTCTGCCTCCCAAGTGCTGGGATTAAAGGTGTGCACCAATGCCACCCGGCTACTGTATGCTTCTTGTACCTTCATAAGGTACCTGCTTATTTAGACTGGAGAAATTTTCTTTTATGGTTCTTTGAAAAATTATTTTCTGTGCCTCTGACTAGGTTTCTTCTTTGTCTATTCATATCATTTATAAGTTTTATCTTTTCATAGTGTCCACGATATCTTGGATGTTTTATGTTTTTAGATTTTGCTATTGACATTACTAAAAGGCTAGAGAAGAAAGAGGCCTTAAAAAGTTATACAGTTGAGTGCCTGGGTGATAAAACCAAGGTAAAAGTAAACAAACTAACTTGCCTGGTGATGTCAGATATGGGGACTCATAGTTTACACATAACCAGGGTCTCTTGTTTCTGGGTTTATTGTCTATCCCTGTAATGTCTTATGACCACAGCTAAGTAGAGTGCAGTGGGGGTTAAAATGCATTCATATTTCTTTTGCTTTTGCTTGGATATATCTTAGATTTAATTTTAGTTTCTTGTGTGATCTTTACAATACCTGATTAAATGGTAGTGTTTTATAGTAGCTGATATTATATAGTTTTATTATTAAATTTAATAATCTATTTATGAAGATCAATATTTTAAAAGTCCATGAAATAGAATAAAACGTGTGTGTGTGTGTGTGTGTGTGTGTGTGTGTGTGTGTGTGTGAGAGAGAGAGAGAGAGAGAGAGAGAGAGGGTCTCACTATACAGCCTGAGTGGGCCTGGAACTCATTATGTACAACAGGCTGGCCTCTAACTTGGAGATCTTCCTGCCTATGGTTTCCTAAGTACTGGGTTTAAAGGCATGTATCACTATGCCCAGCTACACAGAGATATTTTCATGATTTTTTAAAAAATACTTCTCTCATTTATTGAATGTTATGGAGTACTTTATATTTCTCTTATGTATTTCTAATTTAATGTTTTAATTGCCTAACACTTTGCTATACTAAATAATACATTTCAATAATTTTTATAATAGACATTGCTTTGTTTCATTTTTCTCTTAAGGGTATTTCTTTGATGGAACAAATGTACTTTGGACCATCTCAGGTACCAGTACAAACACCTGAGCTAGAAGAAGAGAAAGAGTTCCAGACAACTACTAAGGAACGGCCAGTTACGGTAACATCTCCAGTAAAAATCTTTCCCTGTGTTAAAGTAATAGTGTGTCTCCTGTTGATTGAATGTTGGCAGAGGGTTAAGAACAGTCTCCTCTAACTTACTTTAGAAATGGGTTTAAGCATCTGATCCAAAGCCACATGGGTGTTCTGGTTCCCTTGGCTCTCAGAAATCTTTTGAGTAAAGCCAAACACTCTTTTCAGAGAGAAAGGTATTAATAGCTCGTCTGAATCAGAGGTGCTTAAATATAGAAGGTAGTTTGAGATATAATTAAACTATTAGCCTCTAGGAAAGCATAATTTTAATATACATTTAGCTAGAAGAACTGCCAAGGCACAGTCTGGACAATGGGTAACAGGAGTGTTTCAGAAGCAAAGCTTGCCTCTTGTCCACCACTGGCAAAATGATTATGGTATTTGAAGCAATATGGAACATCTTCTCTGATAATGGGAAGTGTCCCCACTTAAAGCAAAAGTTAATATTAAGTTAGAGTCAACAAATTAAAAGGAAATCCACATTTACATAAGAAGACATGATGATTGCTTTACATGAGAATTTTGAAAATATGACCCTATATATGTGTGTATATAGTGAGAATGCACTTCATTTTAGGACAGCATCCAGAAAACATACAGAACCTTCTGTTATCATGAAGCCCTGGAGTCTGTAAGCAGGTACCACAAGTGGTAGACTTGCTACACTTACAGATGCTTTTGACTGGACTGTGTCTTTGGTCCCCTTTGTATGCAAATGGCCTGCCTCAGGACCACAGGTGTGGCGCACTAGTAGCCACTTGCCGATTGTGTGTGGATAGACCAATTGCCAAGCCTTATCACATAGGCGGCCGTGGGCTTAACCTGTATCTAGGGTAGCTGCCTCAAGGTAGCACCATTACAGGTCATTAATCCAGTAGTGGGTAGAGTAAATTGAAAACCTAAGACGAGTTAGTCTTAACACAATAGAAATCAATAGAATAAGATTAACTTAATCTACTCACTGAACTGCTTTAGACAAGGTTGATAGAAAGGACAGAGGAAGAACAGTCCTCGCCCAGGAGTAATTCATTTAGTATATAGGCCAATAAGACAGTAGTATGCTACTACTAGGTGTCCTAGTAAAGGTTAATTATGTGGTAGATGAAAACTGAGACAATTTCCCTTCCATTGTTCGTCTACTTATTACAAATAGTGACAACATGCCTACAATATGACAAGTACTTGAAATATTAAAGAGAAACGTGATAGACTCACTGTCTTTTAAAAGGTGTGTGTGTGTGTGTGTGTGTGTGTGTACAGGTATGTCTATGCTGCAGTGCATATGTAGAGGTCAGACAGGTTTTCAGGTGCTGGTTCTGTCCTTCCACGTTGCTGAGGCAGGCCTAGGCAGATCTCTCTCCAGCTTAGCTGGCCTCAACCTCATCTTGCTTTTCATGTGGATTCTAGGGATTGAACTCAGGCCACCATGCTTATATGACAAATCCTTCTACTCACTGAGTTATTTCTTTTTTTAAAGAGCTTCTTTAGTGTTTTGAATAATCATTTTTTAAAATATTTATTTATTTATTAGTATCAGATGCTTTTGGACACCTAAAATTGTTTAAAGATATGCAAGGAACTTTCGTTAAGGTGAATTATGCTGCCAAGTGGTGGCGGCGCCCACCTTTAATCCCGGCACTCGGGAGGCAGAGGCAGGCGGATCTCTGTGAGTTCAAGGCCAGCCTGGTCTACAGAGTGAGTTCCAGGACAGCCAGGACTACACCGTGAAAAAAAACCCTGTCTTGAAAAACCAAAAAGATACAAGTGACTTATGTCAATTCTTTTTATCTATTGAAGAGGAAAACTGAGGAATTCAAATGGCTTTTTTTTTTCATTTAAGAGAATACTTGAAAGTCAATTACATATTAATATAAAATACAATTTTCAGGGCCTAAGAGAAGCTTCCTGTATAAAGTACTTGCTGAGCCAACCTGACAATCTGAGTTCACTCCCTAGCTCCGTGGTTGAAGGAGAGAAGCAGTTCTGAAAAGCTGTCATCTGACCTGCACACACACACCTGTATTCACACACACACACACACACACACACACACACACACACACACACACACATATATTTTATGTGCATAATATGTATGTATAAATGTATATGTGTGTGTATATGTGCATATATATATATATTAATGTGTTCTTTCCAATGAAGCATATTAAATCTAGTGTCACATAGACTGGAAAGTGAGTCGTATTTTAATAGCTTTTTACCACAGTTATAAATATTTTTCCTGGTTAATGCACAAAAATGGTACAAGTGATGCTTAAAGATCGGTTACAGTACGGAATCAGCCCGGAGGTGTGAACTGGATGCACGCATGCAATCAGACCCACCCGTGGCTCTTTCTCGAGCTCATCTCTCACCCCAGATGATTGATGATCTCATGTGGGAAGCACTTGGGAAGGAGCGTTCACCATTTTACCCTGCACTGTTTGCCGTCGTCCGTGCAAATTTCAGCACAGTGGGACAAGGCGAATAATAACAGTTTAATATTATTAAAGTAGCTTGACGTTGCAGCCCTCCTAGAAGGGTTTCAGATAGTGTCAGAAATCTGTGAGCCACATTTCTAGAGCCGTTAATCTATATCAAGTGAAAGAGAAATTGGTAGTGCATATTTTGGAATGAGGTTGTCTAGACCGGAGGACAGCTTTTGTATGACCTTGGTCAAATAACCCAACTTGTCCAAGCCTCAGTTTCCCCATCCATAAGGAGTGGGGTTATACATAGTTCCTACTGCATGGATCTGTGCTATTTAAATAGATGAGGCAATGGTCGTATGAGCAGCCAGGTTTATGCTGCTGCTGCTGAGGCAGTTATAATGATGTGTGCTGGGATGCTGGGATGGAGCCAGGCGTAGGAGTGGCATGTTAGGAAGGGTTTGGAGGAGAGGAGGCTGGACAGATTCCTGAAGCAGGAGGGACTGTAGCTGGAGGGCTGTCATTGCTCTCCTTTGAGCTTTTTTTCCTCCATTTTCAATGCTGGTGGACGTTGCTTCCATTTGTTCAGTCTCCCAAACTTGAACTCTGTGAGACTAAGCGGAAGAAGCTTGGAGCAGAGAAATGCAGAGCAGAGGAAATGGTTGACTGTATCCAAAGCTGTGGAGCATAAAACACAGCAGCTGATCACAAGTGGACAGTATGAAAGCAGAGTGCACAGCATGTAATCACGCAATATATCTGCTTTGTCATCTTATGGAAAGGGTTTTATTATTAACCCCTTTTCTCAATGAGGAAAATAATGTAAGTAACTTGATCAGGACCAAGCATATGTGCGTTGACAGATCCGGGACTTGGAATTGGTGCCATCGTGTTGGAAATACTGTTAATTCCTCTTTAACACCCCCAGTCAGTCAGTGTATACAAATCTGAGCTCAATGTTAATGCTGCATTTTATAAGCTCCCAATTCAGCTATTCCTTCTTGAGTAGCAAAGACACTTGTGTGGCGTTTGACACTGAATGGCACCTTTGACTATATCAAAGAATAAAATGGCATAATCGTATTGTAAAGTCACTCTGTGTAATTCAGCCTTTTATTTAAGTCAGATTAGATTTATCGTTTGAGAAAATGAGTTTTGTTTTTAGATCCCAGTGGTCCATAATTCCAAATAATCTTAAAAAAATAATAAAGAAATGCATCTATGAAGTTTTCTGCTTTTTTGTTTGTTTGTTTGTTTTTGTTTCTTCCCTTATGATTTGGTGACAGAAGACCAGGGAAAATAATTTGCTGGCTTTCAGATTTTTCGTTAAGTCAATTTGAAGATTTCTTTTGCAATCTGCAGAGAAAAGGCTTTTTTTCAGACACACCCTTACCTATCCATTCTGTTGCTGTATAGAACACAGTGTGGAACTGGAGACTGTGGAGGACCAGTGAGATGAACTTTCTGTCCTTGTATTTTTCTCCAGCAAAATATTTATGAGGAGGTTCCTGAGGCTGTGTCAAGTGTCTTCCAGATTGAACAGGAGGATCTTTCCGAATGGGGACTGTTAGGAGACGAGAACTTAGCGTTTAAGTCTCAGGAAATGTTAGAAACTGTGTTACCAGAGGACTCCACTATGCACTTGGAAGCTGGTCCTCCCACAACTGCCGCCAAAAAAAACCACCAAGCAGCCATCTTTACAAGTAAGCAAAACCAAACACTGCTGTCTGTGTTGGGACCACTTAGAAGGGTGAGAACTGGGGATGCGCAAATGTGAAGAAGTACCCAAGCAAAGATCAAGGTGTGGGGTGTGTGTTGTGGGGTGGGGGTGTCAAACTTAAAAGGGTCATCAGAAGTGCAAAATAAGAGGCAGATTCTTTTTTGAGGACTTTTTTTTTCCCATCTCTTGGAAAGAAGAGATTTTTAGGGTAGGAGGGCATCTGGGCTCTTCAGACACTGGCCACAGTCTTCTACATACGTAGCGGGTAAGAGGAGTCAGGAAGTGTAGTACCAGGACTAGGCCTGGGTGAGCTTGGCCGTGCACATACATTTGTCCTGCTGAGATTTCTTGTAACTCTGGGGTCCTTCCCTGCTGTGGAGGTGTTTGACAGAACTCCATGATGTTTGCTTATATCACCTCAATGTCAGTTATGATCCATGAACTTTAACTCGCTAGACAGGACCCTTTATTTGTGGTGTCAGTGGTGGAGGAGGAATGAGGAACAATCTGCTCTGGTAAACCATGACAGACTGGGAGACAAGGCGACTTTTTTTTTTTTTTTTTTTTTTTTTTCGAGGCAGGGTTTCTCTGTGTAGTTTTGCGCCTTTCCTGGAACTCGCTTTGGAGACCAGGCTGGCCTCGAACTCACAGAGATCCGCCTGGCTCTGCCTCCCGAGTGCTGGGATTAAAGGCGTGCGCCACCACCGCCCGGCCAAGGCGACTTTTTGATGGAGCTAATAAATATATCTAGATGAAAGAGTGAGGCAGGACTTTAACTGCTCAGATGCATGCTGGGAGAACTCCAGCAACAGAGTCAGAAGGACCCCCGCCTTATTGGCCATTCTCCTCCTAGCAGCTCTTTGCAAGAGTTTGGACTTACTGGCGTTCTGAGCTAAGTCATTACCAACAGCAGAAAAAAAATTGCGTACCTGTGATAGCAACCTGGTGACGAAATGGCAGATACAGCAGCAGTAAGACTGGGTAGCTTTTTAGAAGAGCAGCTGTGACAGCTTATAAAATAATGTGACCCAAGATCGCAAACGGAAGGAAGTTTAAGAGCTGTGAGAGTCTCTAAATCCAAATCCACAATTAGGACGATTCTCTGCCTCCAGAGTTCCCAAAACACATGAAAGACAAAATGCATATCACAAATGACTAGGAAAGTGCCGTGTGGCTGTTGAAAGTTACTCCAAGAGGCTTGAGATGCAGGCGTTGAGACCCCTGTAGGATTAAGAACAAAAAAGGTGATTTTTATGTTATTTTGGTGCAGAGGTAGCAGTGTAGGGGGAGAAAGACAACCCTGTCATCATGGATGAATAATGTAATGACAGCAGACGCCAGGGCTTCCTCAGTTTAGTTCTGAAAAAAAAAAAAAAAAGAGATTGAGGTTTTTAAATAAACAGACACGTGCCTAAGAAAAGTAAGCCGATGAACTCCTGCTTCACATTTAAAGCCTGACAAGGAAAGTGATCTTTTGTTTAGAAAGAAGAATTGGGTTTAAAAGAAAAAAAACCACCAGAGATTTGTGAGAGATTTCAAGAGTTAATTCTGGTCCCGACAGGTTGGCTCAGGTGGCTGCTTTCCACCTGCTGTGCTGGTGAGGGGCAGAGTGCTGCCAGGCGGTGCTGAATGGCAGAGACACAGAGCCTGCTTCTTGGGAATGTGGAAGGCGGAGGCGGGCAACTGCAGAAACGCTAGGCTGTAAGGGCAAAGGTCTTCATTTCTGCAATCTCTGTGCTGTTCTGGTCTTGTAGGGTGCTTTAGAATGATTAAATACCTTATTAAAAACATTGTGCCTCAACCCTTCCTAACAGGAAGAGATAATTCTTTGAGCATGGGGTCCCTAGGGACTAATGTGGAAGACCAACCTTATTTCTTCTCTTAGAATTTTATTAGATGGACTGTCAGAAAAATGCTAGGTATGTTGCTCACCCTGAGCTCTGGGCCCAGACTTTTCATGGATATGGTTCCTTTCTCCCCATTACTAGACGTGTGTGCTGGGCCTAATTACCAAACTACTCCTGTGTTGTTCCATGAGGATAATGGCAGTTGCCACCTTGATGCTATGCAGATGATGTATAGATAGCATTTAGTGTCTGGTACACAGCTGTCTTAGTACGATTAGTGATTATTAGTTGATGTGCTCTGAATTTCAGCAGCCCACATATAAGTGCCTCCTGATGGTGCTGCTGGTGAGACTGTGTTAGAACTACTGGGTAGATTTGTAGCGAGTCAAGCATTATATGGTATACGATTAGTGTGTGAGAGCCTCTAGTGGGGTGATATAGCATTGTGTCTATTTGAGCCTATTCCTCAATAATGTGGAGGAGAATACGGGAGATTTGCTGATTGGATTTACAGATAATGTCTAAAATTTGATTGCTTAGCGCTCAGATTAAACTTAATAGGCATGAAGATATGTTACATTTTGCCTTTGGGTCTACCAAAGGATAAGAGGATTTAGTAGCAAATGTGAATAGCCTCAGGGCTTTAAAGTATAATATTGTTTTGTGCTGGGGAAGACAAATACAGTTGCAGTTTACGTTAGTTGATGGGTGTTGTAGGAGGATCACCTTTCACTTGGTTGATCTGGTCATGTCATATGTCAAATATTGTGTTCATATCTGAGTATCCAACCACAGGAGGGTCCCCGACAAATTAGATTGAAGGAGGGCGACAAAGCCACCACTTTAGAACCGCTCCAGGTAAGGTATAGTTGAAGGGGCCAAAGTTGTTTATCTGGGGGAAAGCTGGCCCAAAGCGGTAGATACGTTCTCATACTCAACTGTCGGGCAAAGGAGCTGGATTGTCCTCTCATAGTGGTTCCCAAGGTTTGAATTTAGACGGGTAGATGAAATTCATTCTACTCAGTAACAGAGAAACAAAACAGAAATGCCAGTAAGTGGAAGTGTTGGGAAGAGAAGATGGCTGACTCTGTATGTATCCACGTTCACTGTTCCTGACCTTGTTCCTGCAGATGACCAAGATTGGTAGAGATGCATAGGCAGAGTTCAGGTATGAACTGCAGGTGAGAACGTAATGCTCTGCTTTTATGATTTGCTAATTCCTTACCCAAGAAATTGCAAGAGGGCACTCTTTTACTGAGCTAAGCTCCAATCCCACAGCTAACTTGTAGCAACCTCTTTTATCTAGCCTTCTCCTACTTATCCGGCTGTCCCTCCATCTTTGCAGGAAAAACCTCCCTGCTTACTCCCTCAAGCCTCAAAACAAAACAAAAGCACAGAGCAGTCAAAGGAGAAAACTGTGTGTGAATTATTACCACCATATATTCTGAAAACAATCTAGGAATTCTGAGAAAACAACACTTTCAACACCTAACTATTAAGAAGCAACTCTTTGTGAGACAGAGTTTATTTGAGTTTGCCAAGCAATAGAAATACAAAATAGTACAACTCTATTAAGTAGAGTTTGATAAACATTCAAAATTCTGTAAAGCATTAAAAGCTCCTTTTAGCTGCGATTATAATCAGAAGTTCTGCCAAACTGTCAGAAACTAAGGATAGGTTCTATTAAAATACCAAATCAAGGTGATGGAGGGGAAAACATCAACCAAGAAGATCAGGAAGGGAGATGGTCAGGATGCACTCCCCATAACTCATGTAAATGCCAGGTGAGTGCTGTAGCCTGCTTTTAATGCCAGCCTCAGAAGGTGGAGACAAGACCAACTGGAATGGTGAGCTGTGAGTCCAACTGAGAAACTGTACCCCCAATGAGTAAGGTGGAGAGTGATGGAGGATGCTCTCAGCATCAGCTGTGGACCTCCACATGCACACAAACACACATGAGAGCATACATATGCACACACATGAAAAAAAAAAAAGAAAAATAGATTGGGCTGGGACATAGCTTAGTGGTAGAGTGTTTGCTTAGCATGCCTGAGACCCTGGCTTTATCTTTTGTTTTTTCTTTAGCAATTTAAGGTAAAGAATTAAAAATATTGTAAGTAAATGTGATACTAACATTTTTTTATTTTCATTAATATATGCACATAAAATTAGTAATGGCTTTAGAAACAGTAACTTACCTTTAGTATTTATATTCTGCTATACACGTAGAAATTAGAAGTTTAAGTATGAGACATAGCATTAAATATGAGAGAAAGGTCTAACTCTTTATGTGCCAACTTTCCTTAACAGCCTGCTTTATGTGTTTTTAAAGGTGAGAGCTCCAGAATTCTTGCATATCAGAGGAAAAGAACTTAAACGAATACAAAGAAGTAGACCAGTTGTTGTTAAGCCGTTGAAACGAATAAAGTCTGTAAGATCTCAGCCGGAAAAAAAAATAATTAAAAAGTAACTTCCTTAAATTTATATATTTTCCGTTTTCTTTTGAAACATTTATTTTTATTTTACGTGTATGAGTATTTGCTTGCAAACATGTATGAGCACCAAATGCTTTCCTGGTGTCTGGGGAGGTGTTGGATCTTTTGGAACTAGAGTTAAAGACGGTGTGGGTGCCAGTCCTCCACAGGAGCAGCAAGTACTGTTAGCTGTGAGCTGTCTCCAACCCTTTCACACATCTTCTTATCCAAAGAGTAGACGTTCAGTGGCTTGATATGTTGAAATGCATTTTTAGAAGGGATAACCACATATCTCATCATGTCATGTAGAGATCCAAGAGGAAACTTCTCAAAGGAAGAGTTGGTGGTGGGTTTTCTAGTTGGGGTGCGTGTGCTGCCCTCCACACTCTCTGTTTCTGGTTTTGAGGAGTAGTTTTATGACAGTACTTAGAATAAAGAGACAGCATGGTAGAGACCACTGTTCGGTCATGGTTTGATCAACTGCTTTATTATATTGTTTATATAAAATAAAATAAAAACCTAACTCAAAATGGTCATAGCCTAGCCAGCTTAGGAATTCAGGTTTCTCTCTACTGTCCCATGTTTCCCTCTCCCCTGGCTGTATCTTTAATGAAGATTCTTTTATCTGTTATTGAGAAAAACTTTTCCATACAGTATATTTTAATCATGTTTTCCCCTCCCCCAATGGCTCTCAGCTCCTCCCCACCTCCCTACCCACACAACTTTATATCCTTTCTCTTTCTCCAAAAAACAAATGAAGAGATGAACAAACCCCCCAAACAAACAAAAACAAGAAACACACACACACACACACACACACACACACACACACACACACACACACGCACACACGCACACACACACACACACACACCCGACCCTTCCCACAAAAACAGAAACCGAAATGTACAATCAAAAGACTAATGGGACAAAAATTGTCTAAAAAAAGTCTACAAACATATCATCGAATGGGGTTCGAATATAGCATGAGTGCAATTCAGATTACAGGTTAGCTGTGGTCACTCATCCTTGTTGAAACTGGTTTTTTCTTCATTTCACCACTGGTTTTTTAATGGGTTGCTCCTTTCTAGATTATCTTTCATTGAACTCTTTATGGAGGTTTAAAGAAACTTTAATTATTGGCTTTTGTTGTTGCTAAGGAAACTGGGACAGTCTGGATGTGGAAGACAACGTATTTTATTTTTCTTTAACTGCTAACTAAAACTTTGTAAGTGGACATTACTCACAATTTAGTAGTTAAGAGTAGATTCATGGGTAAAGAATTCCAATGCTGATGAAACAGTGAAATTGGCATTTAAGTGACCCTGTGCATGCCATTGCTTATCTGCATTGCTTTAAGCTCATTTAGTTAGCAAGATTATGTATTAAAGCAAATAGTGACAGCAGGCAACAAGTATTTTACCTTCAATAAATAGTTACCGTCAGATTATCAATGAAGCAGAAACTTTGTGATTTTTTTTGTCTCTAAAAATCTTTGCATTTAGTGCATTAAGCCAAGTAGCATGGCCACACACAGAGTCAGGGTCTTTTCTTTTTTATGTCTTAGCATTTCAAAGAATGACAGATAGTCCTGCTTAAAGAGAGTGTGCTGTAAAAACACACAGGCTTTCTTGAGAATGCCAAAAATATTTGTAGATCTTATTGATATGTATTTGTTATTTTAATTCACAAAAGCTGATTTTAGAAACTTCCATGATAGAGAAACAAGACTGGAATGCAGGCGAAGAAATACAGGGCATTTAAAGAATTTATTTTATGAAAGAGAAGCTTGGGAAAATATTGCTGAAAGTCTTTAATCCACGGCTACTCGGTCATTAGCCAGTCTACCTTTTCTTACCAGCTGACTGCACTGGATCTCAGTTCTCCGTTGCAGCAGATTGCTGTTTAGCTCAGTCTACTGAGGAAGATTCATGTGCTAATCTGTGCTGTTAGACTGAATGGAGCAGAAGAAACACACACACACACACACACACACACACACACACACACACACACACACACACATACACACATCTCAACAGCAGCAAACCCAAATCAGTATAATCTGGAGTACACTCTACTAGCCAGGACCTGTCTGAAACAGGGTGATGGTTCAAGGAAGTTTGACATGGGAGCTTACCTTTATGTTCCTTTCTCTGCTCCTTCCCTCCCCCAGCTCTGCTTCTCTCTATTTTCTAGTAAGGGAGAACCTTACTAGAATTCCTGCATTCCTGGTCATTGCTTTTCACTCTCCCAGTTAGGTTTCTTGTCTCAGACATTTCTCCGGCTTTAGACATACCTCTTCCCCTCCCTCACAGTGTTCACAAATGTCATACCCTGTCCTTGTTGGACTCTATGCTATTTTGGAAAGTCATAGACGGCTTTGTGTGTGATTGAATAATGTACCTGTATGCTGAGCAATAGACTAAATGCTATATAGTACAATTAAGTAACAATAAAAATAAAATGAGTAATTCTACAGCCCAAGAACATTCATTTTATTTTCTTTTAAAAAATCCAGTTATCATAAATGTAAGAGCTAGAAAATTTCCTTCTATTCTTTTTCTAAAGGTTTTTAGAGAAGTTGATAATATAACTTGTAAGCTCAAGAACTAAGATTCTGACCTTGCCTCCGACAACTCCAGAATCTATATTCTTTATACTATGCTGCTAGTTCAAGTTTTCTAGACACATGGGCTAGTACACAGATCAGCACTGGCCACAGGGAAAGGGCCAGACAAACAAACAAATAAACAAACACCAGGACTAATACAATGCATGGAAAGAGACATTTATAAAACACAGATGCCACCCCCTCACACACCATTATCATGGGGGATAGCAAGTAAAGCAGAAAATGAAGGAAAGAAAAAGAAAACTTGACCGAGGCATCTGTCATCAAGGCCCTGTCTGAAGGATGTTTAGACATGAACAGAAGCAGCCTGTCTTTGTGTGTTGTCCTTCAAACTGGTAACAGTTGACATCTGCTATGCAAGAGACTGTTCTAAATGCATTTACTCTTCTTAAGTCAAGGCCTATGGCCAAATGAGGATTTTCCAAGTATTTAAAGGCCGGCAGCACAACCCAAGAACTACACTCTTCATGGGTGCTGGAGGTCAGGCAGGATGCTAGGTGTCCTTAAGCTTAGAGAGATGCCAGACAGGTACAGAAAGCAACAGAGAACCAGTGTGCCGACTAAAGGCAGCAAAGAGGGATCTGCAGATGGAAAAAGACAGAGTGTAGTGCCCAGCTCACCTGATCAAACTTTGTCTTTGAGGAGGACCATGACTGGAGTGAGCTGGTAATAACGAGTAGAGAAGAGATGGATCTCTGCTTGGCATTGGATTTGCAGGGGGAAGGAGAGAGATGTCAGATATTTTGTATCTTGAGCATGAGGAGTCTAGATTATTGTGATGACAGGGATGAGAATCGGACCAAATTGAACGGAGGGGGAAAAAAAAACCCACTGGAGAGGATTTTGCCTGTTATCAAAGAGAAGTTCGAACCTTGAAGGCACACCCAATTGGGGAGCTAGAGGCTTTAAATTAAGATAAAATTGAGAGGAAGATGGAAATCTGGGGATAGAGGACGCTATGAAAAGCTCCCAGAGGAGGAACAGTTTCCAGAAGAGTCAGCTTGTGGCTTGAAGGTCTTGTGGAGCATGGCCTACAGGTGGCACGCTCCTTCGATCCAGTGGAGTAGAGAGCTGGGGTGGAGTAGCAGCAGATGAAGGGCCCTTCTCAGGAGCTCTCAGTCTGAATTAATTGGAAAGGCATTGGGTTTACAGAGAGCAATAATGCACTTGGACCCCAGGGGCTGCTAATTTGGGGACTTGGCTAAACTAGGCCTGCTCCAGAGAAAGGGTGATCTCTCTGGCACAGACTTATGAGGGTTCGGATGTGTAAAGCACCCAGCACACAGCCTGGAACATATTAGGTGCTTAAGCAGTTGATGAGATGGCAGGGGACGTGCAGCATCAAGAAAGCGGTCATCATGACTTCTTTGCTCCTCTAGAAAGGCAAGAGAGAGACACAGTTTGGGAGTAGGACGGGATGTGATACCTGAAGACACCATGTTTCACTGATGAACTGCTGTAGTGTTCCATCGTTTCTTTAGCAGAGGAAGGAACCCTAGACAGAGTTACAGAATTCAAGTGAGGAGAGATCACTGGAGAAATGAGTTTGCTTCAGACCTATTCATTTGTCTTGTGTATGTAAGACATGCTGATTGCTATGAGTTTGAAGCTCTGGGCATTTCCCAATGCTGTAATGTTAAATGTGTCATAAACCATTATTACAGTTTTGTGTCTGATCCCTACACTTGACTATTCTTTTTAGAGCCTGAACTGAACTGCCAGTGTCAATGTATTTCTTACCTAACACCCGTAAAACGATGAAAGAAGCTCACTTTGTTTCCTGTTACAGAATCCCCCAGGTCCATCACATCCCTCATCTTCATGACCTGTGTTGCACAGTTCCAGCTGCGGAGCTGCCTGTGGATCTGCACCTGGCGTCTCGAGTGTATCACACTCCGGACAGGACAGGTCACAAGACTTTGCTTAGATTCTTGAGGACATCTGTCTTCTGTGGTCACTCTATGGATGACCAGAGAGACAGGTAAGAGTTTTCTGGTTATTTTGTTTTAAGCTGTCAAAAATATTCAGCGAAAGGGAGAGGATGTGAGAGACAAAGCCTTCTAATTAATCCACTGATGGCAGGAGCCCTCACGATGTAGCCTTAAAGGGCCCACCTTTGCAACGGCTTCTTTGGAAATTAAGCTTCCAACACATGAACATGGAGAGTCTCATTCATCTGTAGCAGTAACTTATCATAAGGAAATTTGATCGATTAACCTAGTTCTACAAGTCTCTCTCTCTCTCTCTCTCTCTCTCTCTCTCTCTCTCTCTCTCTCTCTCTCTCTCTCTTTCTTTCTTTCATTTAAACTTTTTTTTTTAAAACTCTCCGACAACCCTGGAACACAAATGTGGTGATTGAGGCACATGGATGTTAAGCACTTTATCTTATGCAGCTAAAAGAATCACAGTTTGGGGATGAGAACTCAAGCATGTATTTGAACCAGAGTCCACTGTCCTACTTTGGTCCTGGATAGTGAACAGAAGCCATATTTTTGGAGTTCATTCCAGGTCTCTGTGTGTTTCCCTTCTCTGTGGACAGTATATGATTGACAACATTCTCAAAAGAAGAGGGGAAGGGGAAGAGAGTTAATATTTGCTTAGTAGCAAAAATATTCCCAGCTCAGAGTTACCTGTTCTGCATATGTTTTCTATTTGAATTTTCAACTGTTAAGGGAGAAGTCATAATTTCCATGTTATTCACGATGAAATTTAGGTTTCATAGTATCAGGTTACTTGCCCAAGTTATCTCTGAGTAGTGAATGGAATCCAGGAATGTCTAACTCAGTTTTACCCTCAATCATTTTTTTCCCATCTTTTTCTCCATGTAAAATATATATTTCAGACATTTTTGTCCTAATCAACCCCTCAATTAGATTTTAATACCCAAGACCCCAGATATGCTGGTATCTACTTTAGTATTGTATGTTTTCCTATACTTGTGCATATAAAGAAAACTCTTTTCTCATCCTACCCTCCTCATACTCAAAATGTGAGTTTTCACCTCCAGGGAGTTAGTGTTTCTCATCCACCATTAACACATGCTCTAGTCTCATCTTTTAGAAGACTGGGTAGGACTCAGGAAGAAAACCCATTACCTACGTGATAAGAAAATATTAAATTAAATTGGACCCTTCTCAGAATTAAAGTTTATTCTAGACATACAAGAATAAGATTTTAAAAGATCACTTAGGATTGTACTCACACATTACTAAGGGTTGCCTATTCTTTTCATGGTGCATTTTGAACCTGCTAACTCTGCTTGACTTTTAGTATAAATTGGAGCACTGCATATATTCTTTTACAGCTTAAAAGTTATCCTTTTGGGGAGTGTTGAGACAAGGCTTTTCTGTGTAACAGCTTTAGCTATCCTGAAACTCACTTTGTAGACCAGGCTGGCCTCAAACTCACAGAGATCTGCCTGCCTCTGCTGGGATTAAAGGCATGCACCACTACTGCCCAGCACATTTTCTTGGTGTTCAGCAACCATAAGGAATTTCAATTTGACTCCTTGAAAGAAGGAATTCAAACCATTATGGTACTTATTTTTTTTTTTATTGAAACAATGTGTTTTCAGTGCACATGTGCCAATCACAATATACACGTAAAGTCTCTTAGTTTTATCAAGTCAGTGGTAACTTCTTAGTTAGGGCTGCTGTGAAGAGAAACCATGACCACAAAGGAAGATGTTTAATTGGGGTGGCTTGCAGCTTCACAAGGTTAGCCCATTATTGTGATGGCAGGGGATATGGCGGCATGCAGGCAGACATGGTGCTGGAGAGGTAGCTGAGACTTCTTCATGTTCATCCATAGGCAGCAGAAGCGACTGTGAACCACACTGAGCATACTTTAAGATTGGGAGAACTCAAAACCCACCCCCTAGTGACACACTTCAACAAGCCACACCTACTCCAACAAAGTCACACCTCCTTACAGTGCCACTCTCAATGGGCCAAGAAGCATTCAAGCACATGAGTCTTTGGGGGCTATTCCTATTCAAACCACCATGGAGTATGAAAATTTGAAAACCATTTTAGCATCTCTGAAAAACATAGCAGCCGAACACTAGGAGTACAAAATAAAGAGTGTGTGTAGTCTAGTAGTCATGAGATTCTGCTGCTTTCTTTTTCTTTGGTACTGAAGAGTGTATCCAAGCCTAATTCACATAGACAGGTTCTCTGCCACTGAACTAGACAGCCAATCCCTGAAAAAACAACAACAACAACTCTTTAGTTTTGAGGCATTTTCGTTAACACTCTAGGGGCCAAATATCGTTTTGAGTACTTACAGCTTCTATTAGTCAGCAAACTGTTAAAAAAATGCTTTCTTTCCAATCCTAAGTTTTTCTTTTTCCAAGTAGATCTTACTTTCTTTTTCCAGGAGAGTAAGTAAGTGCTCTGTTTGATAAAGATAATTCTTGGCAATTTATTTTTAAGTGCCAAATGAGAAGTTAATTTAAGTACTGAATATTTAATTCTCTAGCATCCATCTGTTAAGGATTACCTTGCTAAACATAGCTTAACCTTTTCAAAATATATCTGTCTGCTGAGCCTACAAGTTCAGAGAAGTGTATAATTTTTCCTGCCCTAATAAGAGTTCTGAAGAAAGGTAACTGTAAAAACAAAGCAAGTACATCTGACTTTGGGGATTTGCTTTTGCTATACTAAGAATAGTTCACTTTAAATCATAATAATACTTGTGGCTATGAAGCTGTAGTGCTTTGTTAATTCCACACATAGTAATTGTTATTTATGGTAAATACTAAGAATAGTTTAGTAGAATGGTAAGGATGTACACTCAAGTTTATTTATTTATTTTTCTTTTTATGTATTCGTCTCTCATACAATATATCCTGACTGCAGCCTCCCCTCCCTCTACTTCTCTCAGTTCCCTGCCTCAGGCTCTCTTCGTCTACTCCTCCCAGCACCGCCTGTCCCCTCTTCCCCAGACCCCCAGGTCTCCTCCTCCTCCATTTCCCTACAGAAAAGAGCAGCCCTCCCCATGATATCAACTGAGCACAGCGTAATAAGATGCAATAAGATTAAGCACAAACCCTTGTATCAAGGCTGGACGAGGCAACCCAGTAGCAGGAAAAGGGTCCGAAGAGGGGGCAAAAGAGTCAGAGGTACCCCCACTCCCACTGTTAGGAGTCCCACAAAAATCACAAGCTGAACAACCACAGCATATATGCAAAGGACCTAGCACAGACCCATTTAGGCTCAGTGATTGCTGCTTGCATCTTGGTGAGCTCCTATGAGCCTTGCTTAGTTGATTCTGTGGGCCGTGTTCTTGTGTTCTTGACTCCTATGGCTCCTGCAATTCTTCCTCCCTCTCTTCTAAGGAGTTCTCCCTGAGCTCTGCCTAGTGTTTGGCTGTGGGTCTCTGCATCTGCTCCCAGTAGCTGCCAGAGGAAGCCTCTCTGATGATGATTGGGCTAGGCACCCATCTATGAGTATAGCAGAATGTTGTTAGGAATCACTTCATTGACTTTTTTCTTTTTCTTCTCCCTCTCTCCCCCTTCTCGGTGTCTGTCTCTCTGTCTCTGTCTCTGTCTCTCTCTCTCTCTTCCCCCCTCTCTCTCTTTTGTGGTCAGTCCTGTTTGGTTCTATTCTAGGTCTCTGAGCCATCCAGTTTCCGGTTGCTGCCTATATAAGCAGTGTTGGCCATGGGCTCCCTTTCATGGTTTGAGCCTCAAGTTAGACCCATTGGTTGACTACTCCCACAATCTCTGAGCCACCATTATTCCAGCACATCTTGCAGGAAGGACAGGTGGGGGTTTTGTGGCTAGAATGGTGTTCTGGTTCCACTACTGGGAACCTCGTCTGGTTACAGAAGATGACCAATTCAGACTCTGAATCCTCTCTTACTAGGAGTCCTCACTAGGGTCACCCTCATAGGTTCCAGGAACTTTCTACTGCACTAGGTTTCCATATCACCCTCTAAATACCCCCTATTCCAGATGTATTCTACCTGTACACTCTCCCCATTCCCTCCATCCCCAACCTGCTCCCTCCTGTTCCCATCCTCACCCATACCCAGTCCGTCCACAAAATCTATTCTATTTCCCCTTCCCAGAGAGATCCATGCATCCATCCCTAGAGCCCTCCTTGTTACGTATCTGTCTAGCTCTGTGGATTGTAGTGTGATTATCTTTACTTAACCAGCTAATATCCAATTATAAATGAGTATATATCATGTTTGTCTTTCTGGGTCCAGGTTGCCTTGCTCAGATGATTTTTTTCCTGGTTCCATCCATTAGCTTGCAAATTTCATGATGTCATTTTTTTTCTAGCAGCTGAGTAATAATCCATTGTGTAAATGTACCACATTTTCTTTATCCATTCTTCTCTTGAATGATATCTAGGTTGTTTCCAGTTTCTGACTATTATGAATAAAGCCACAATGAACATAGTTGAGCAAGTGTCCTTGTAGGATGGAGAGTCTTTTGGGTATATGCACAAGAGTAGTGTAGCCGGATATTGAGGTAGATTGATTCTCAACTTTCTGAGGAACCACCATATTGATTTCCATAGTGACTATACAAGTTTGCACTCCCACCAGCAATGGAGGAATGTTTCCCCTTGCTCCACATCCTCTCCAGCAAGAGCTGTCACCTGTGTTATTGATCTTGGCCATTCTGATAGGTGTAAGATGAAATCTCAAAGTTGTTTTGATTTGCATTTCCCTGATGGCTAAGAATGTTGGACATTTCTTAAAGTGTTTCTCAGACATTTGTGATTTCTCTGTTGAAAAATTCTCTGTTTAAATCTTTAACCCATTTTTTATTGGATTATTTGGTTGTTAGATGTCTAGTTTCTTGAGTTCTTTATATATTTTGGATATTAGCTTCTACTGGATGTGGCGTTGGTGAAAATATTTTCCCATTCTGTAGGCTGTCATTTTGTCCTAGTGATGGTGTCCTTTGCCTTACAGAAGATTTCCAGTTTCATACAGGTCCCATTTATTAATTGTTGATCTTAATGC